TCCTCAAGACAACAATCTCACTCGCCATGTTCTCTGACTGCTGTATAACACAGCACAGCGGGCAAATACCAGCACAGTTCACTCACTTCAGGTCCAGGTGTGTTTAATGCCACACAGGAGCGAGTCACGCTGGGAGCAGACACAGCTGAAATGTTCCTCAAAACAACAAGTAAACACCACAACCCGTATAAATCCATGAAAGTGAAGCAAAGACATTCAGAACAGGAATATCATTCATGTATTTGACAGTTAATAGAAGTGTTCCTCTATACATATTGCAATTGACCTCCCATTCATTGCAACTCTTAAATGTTGCTTTAATTTGGTGAGTTATTAAACCGTCCTGCTTATTTTACAAGTTGTCTTATTTGTCTCTTATGTTATTTCCCATTTTATTCTTCCCAAAAAGGACCTTTTTATTTGTTAAATGTGCTTTACATTTAGTTATTTACAACATGTTATTTATTAAGTGTAGTTCATTGAGCCCACAAGGCCCCATTAAGACACCAAATACTGTTTGAGTAATGAAAGAAGAATATGACTTTTTACATATATTATTGCTTTGCATACAAAACATGTATGTTTATTATGGCAGTCAGTCACAAATACAATAAGTATTAAAGAAAGTCCTTAATTCATTAAATGATAAACAATAAAACAAGAAATTCACTTGTAAGTCTTCTCTTTCATCAAGGAACCATTGGCTGTTTCTAACGCTAATAGTGTTATTATTAAATATAACTATGGACAAGTACATTTGAATGTTGATGAGTTTCTTTGCGGCACTCTGGAAGAGTTATTGTGATTTCCATTGCAACTAAACATAAATAGTATTTAAGTAGAGTTAAAGCACTTATTCAGGGATGTGAAGTACGTTTTTCTCCCTTCTTTCTGCAGAAGATGGTTTCCACCAATGTAGTTGGAATCCTATCTTTCCATCACTTGATCTAATTTGTAAAAGCTATCAAAATGGCTAATTTCATAATAGCTGGAAATTCAACTTGTGTAATCTTTTACATCAAATTTCAAAGGAGAGACACATATTTTGAAATGAAATGATCATCTGCTTCCTGTGTTTACTGAGCAGAGAATGACCTTGCCTCCTGATTTACACATGAGAATCAACTGTCGTCTGTATGACTTGTCGTCTGTGACATGGGATGTTAAGACTATGGTTTAACTCATAAAGTGGTTTCAGTGGTTGGGACCTGCAACCAAGCGATTAGTCTGACTGCAAATGAGCCTTAATGTACAACAGATTTGAAAGGGGGTTGTTGAAGGGAAGTGGTTTGACTAAATGTAAGGGGTGAAAGGAAAGTGCTAAGTATCTGGGAACATTTTAGGCAAAAAGTCAGCGGGTGAATAGAAGTCAAGACTGTTATGAGAAACTGATATACAGTATGTATCTGTCTCGGTGTCCCTCCATCTAGATTCATTTGTTTTTTATAGCTTTCCAACTTGTATAATGTGAGTATATAGTCTCCAATGTGTATACCGTTTTTTTTGTAATAAGTGACTCTTGTGCAATGCCTTGTAAACATGCTGCTGCAACTAAACAAATCCCTGTATGGGCTCAATAAAGTATTTCTGATCTAGGTTTAAATTATGATTTTAAAGTAAACAGTATGATTAAAATGAGAGTTTACACCAAGTGTTTAGGGTTTGCCGCCTTTTTCTTCTTTCCTGAAACGTTATCATGTGACTTGACATGACCTACATAGAAAGGTCATTTCGTCAGAGCTGGCATGAAATACAACTACAGTTCAGTGAATCTTAAGCTGACAAGTAGCCCTGGGCATCCTAATAAGATCAGAAGAGTATATTAGCATGTCAGATATAATCTCTGAAAATGAAAGAAGCATATGAGTTTCTTTTTTTTTTCATTAAAGAAAGAGGCGAAGGTAACGGGTTAGCTCAACAAGTCTACGCTCGCCTCCTTTTCCCAGCTTTATTAGGTGTGTCAGAGGTAAATTACTCACACTGTCTCACAGCTTAGAGGTAAAACGTTTGACCAGTTACCATACTGTGTTTTGGAAAACACATAATAAGGAATGACACATTAAACAGGTGCATTGTGGACATGTAAAAACACGATAACTGTCTGGTAGGAAAAAGTCTAAATGTCACAGGTAGTAATGTTTTTACACCTCATTTGTAACTATCCTATTTATATAGGCCTGTACACTCAGCTCCCTTGCTCTTAGGGTTCTCCTCTGTTTCAAAGGTGAGGAAAGTGAATGGAAGCGTGTTAAATAGCTGACGGCTGCTAAACCACAGCCTGCGATGTGACTGACAGGGCGACAACATGAAAGGGAGTCGTGAGAAAAGGGACAGAGCAAATAACTTCCAATCAAAGCCTCAGACACAGCAAGGTTGTTGTCTCAACCACGTTCAACCAGTCATCAAAGACAAAATCCACCGCCTCTTTCACCCTCCATCATCAATACCTCCCTCTCCTTTTTCTATCACCTTCTCCTATTATCTTCTCTCTCAGGGCCAAGCTACCACAAGTAACTGAAGGCAGTTAAAGTCAACTGCTGCGAGGGCTGCGAGACACCAGGATGACAGGTCTGGTTAAACAGGTTCTGAGGGGAGAGGCTGATACTTGTTTAACTGCTAGGTATTGCACACTGCTGCTGCATGCATGGCCTTTGTGAAACAATGCTTTCACCTGCTGACCTTCAAAGCAGGATATGTGCTAGGACGTGGATGAATGGCAGGGCCATTGCAGTGGATTAGAAATTGATACTACTACTATAAATCGATTTTGCCCAATCAATGAGTGCTGGTTTGGTGTTACTGTGGCTCAGACACAAGCTCATGAAACGCATGAACACACAGACCACATGAATCAGAATACTGGCTAGGCAAGTGATGAGTAAGCAAACTTGCGCCACATGTAAACCCCATCTGCAGTTTTGCACCATTTATTTTTCTCATACAAGGACTTTGGTGCGAAACTTGCATCACTGCATTTAAAAAGATGAAATACATCTTGAAACCTAAAACAGATTGACACGTCAGGTGGTTGCACACCTGCTCCGAAAACAGGAAATAGGAAAAAGAAAGAGGAAAAAAGAGACAGACAGGACACAAGCAAGCTTAGGAAGACATTAAGTGATAGAAAATTATTGAGGCAAGAGCCTATGTATAAACACAACTAAGCTATTCGTCTCCTCTCAGCTGTGCATCTTTGTTCATCACATGATGTACTTTTGAGGTCTCTGCCTTCACTGAACCACACAGCTTATTTGTAAGCTAAGTGAGAGCAGATAATGATGGCTATTGTTCCCATTAGTTTGGGGTTTTTCATTGCCGTTTATTAAAAGGAAACTCTTCCAACTCATGACTTACCCATCATCTCTGGAATACTGCTGAAAATAGGTCAACAGAACAATAGTGCAAACACACATGTGTGTTTGTGTGCGGCCTAGGCAACATCACTGACTCACTGCATCAGGATTGAGTCTTTCTTTTTATTTTTTTCCTGAAACTTTAAAACAGTTTTTCTTTACATATTTTCAAAAAGTACATCATGCCCACTTCCTAACCGCTAGTCAATAAAAAACTAACCCATTTATAAAAGTTAAACACATCATCATAAAAAGTGAAACCATACACCAGAATGATACCATTATTTACACAAGCCCATTAAATTACAACATAAATTAGAAAATATTTACATCCAGGACAAGACACTGGATAAATTCTATGTTTGGAATTTATTGTCTAATTAAAAACATTTTTTGAAGAAAAGAAATATATACATTTTCACACGTTCACACAACATACACACTGGCAGGACTGAAGGGGTCGGTAGGTTGATGGTAACTTGGGGTTTTTAAATACTAAGAATGATGAATACCTTACGTGGTCACTAGCCTCTAGAATAGAGGCACTGCTATGCCTGTAATCCACATGAACACTGAAGAGGCTGTAAAGTCTCTGGTTTCTGACCAAACACAGACTGACAAACCAAAACTCATCTTTTCTCATTCAGGCCTACATAAGATTCAAATCATCTCTCATGAACAAAGCACAATAACACTGGAGCCATTTTGAAGTGGTTGTGCAAATCAAGCACAACAAAAGAAAGAAAGAAAATGAAGTGGATTTTCTTCTCTTTCTCTCTCATATAAAAAGTGTCCTTTGCAAGTCCATTGAGACACAGGAAATCAGTGGATTTGCCTCCAGACAGAGCAGGATGGGGGGGGGGGGGGGGGGGGGGGGGGGGTGGGGGGGGGGCGGGAGGAATTCACAGCCAAAGCAAGTCATCTTGAAATGATGTCCTCTTGGAAGAAAAAAACAGAATGCATTTTGTTCTTTCTCCATTCTTTTCAACTGAGAGCAGGTACTTCCGTTGTGTCATCAGCACATGGGCAACTGTGTGTAACTGCATAGTGGTTAGTGTGATAAAGTGTGTTTAGGCCCTCACAGGGTGGGCTCCCATTAGGACCAGCACATGGTCATTCACCATCAGTGCCAACGAAAACTGATTTGCAGCCAGCAGTGACAACTTCTTATCATCAACATCTCGAAAAAATAGGATTTATAAATTCAACAACACACACACACACACACACACACACACACACACACACACACACACACACACACACACACACACACACACACACACACACACACACACACACACACACACACACACACACACACACACACACACACACACACACACACACACACACACACACACACACACACACACACACACACACACACACACACACACACACACACACACACACCACCACACACACACACACCACACCACACACACACACACCACACACCACACACACACACACCACACCCCACACACCACACACACCAACACACACACACACACACACCTCAAAATTGACAATACTCATCAATTCAATATTGATTTTCTTTTTTGAAGTCCAAAGGGCAGACAGGGCAGCAAGATTTAAGGGACTCAGGGGTTCTCAAGGTTCATAAGGATTCCCCTTGAGCTCTCATTTCCTGTGCTTGTCACATTTTGTCGGCAGAATTTGCTCTCACACTGTCTGAGGATCCCTGGGTTGTCGCTGTCGCTGACAGAGTTCAGGTACATCTGTCCACTTGTTCTGAGCGCTCGTTCAGGTAGTTCTGAAGCGATGTCATGGCGGCGCAGATGGCGGGAGATTCCAAAGCGTGAGTGATGAGGCTGAAGTGGGGTCAGGCAAGCCTTGGATTCCAGGCTCCATGATGGGGGCGGGCCGGAGGGAATTTCCCAGAGGCGATCGGTCCTGAGTTAGCAGGGTCAGTGAACTCCTTACAGATATTCCTAAAAGAAGAAAACCACAATGTTTAAGTTAAGGGGGAAAGATTCATATGAACACATGTACTGCTTTATTGTGATCTGAGAATGAAGTCTGTAGGATATTTAACTTGCCAAATCTTCAATCGATACTAAGACACCCACATAAGAATTGAAAACACTTCTACATGGTAATCCTACTTTGCGTGCAAATTAAAGGCAGCCATGCAGTCGAGGCACTTACTTGGCAGCGAGCAGCATGTTCTTGCGAGAGTTAACCTCGTTGCGTTCCACGTGCGGCCTGCCCAGGTATTCAGCAATTGCCTTTGCAGGGAACTCTGTCTCACACACGTAGCCAAAGTCTCTTGCTAAATGAACTGCTTCACCTAAGACAAGAAAAAAACAGACCATGTTAGAGAGAAAAAAAAAAAATCACCTTTAAACCCAATTGTCAGACAGCTCTGGAGGTTACACTTGGTCTAAAACCAAAGAATAAAGATTAATATGAGTTTTACACACATTATCCCTGAATGTCCTCTGACACATTGGGCAGAGATCAAATGGCCAGCTTCAACAGTTTATCAATTTGGAGCATTATATCCCGTTTTGACCTGATACAGAAGCATCAAGGCACATGAAGTGAAGCGGTTGAACTGCAGAATAATCAGCTGTACTCAGTCTTCTTGCTTAAGGGAAGGAGAGCTAGTGAGATGAATATATTTCCGTCTTGAGGGTGGTTTGACTTGCATGGTCATAATGGGCTTATGTGAATAAATGCTAGCAGATAGTGCCCATGGCGCCAACAGCACCGCTTATTGATAGGCGCGCACATCACTTGAGGATGCGGCAGCTATTCAGAAGCACAATCTTTAAGGTCAGCAGGCCCTCCTGGCGAGCCAAACACATGATAACAAGGCTTAATTCAGCTTTGAAGGTCTCTAAATAACACAAGCCTCCAGTCATTCTCCCGCACATAATCATCAGCCCATTTATAAAAATTAGGCGTGTAGGGTGCAAGGGAGGAAATAATATTCTACTTCAGCCTACGGCAGGTAGATGTGACTCAAGTGATAATGTTTCCGTTTTTAAACATCACATTCAGGGTAAGCTATTACTGATCTTTTAGTATTCAAGACACTGACAAGGGAAAGTGAAGGTCTCAGGTTGTGTCATTATTATAACCCAGTACCTCCCTGGTATTAAATAACTGTAGATCTAGGGACTTGGACGCTGCAGACTTTAAAAGGAAGAAAATAATGTATACTTTACAATAATGTGTGCAGAGTGATACCAAATCATTAAAGGGTAATGGTTGGAGAATTGGTGTTTGTAGGATATTCAGATTTTCCATTAGTGTTAATAGCTCAAGGACAACAATTCAAACAACTCTGGATTTTGATGGCTTACGTGCAGCCAGGCAATACAAAAACAAGTTCTTTAAGACGAACTACAATATTTACATTGTATTCAAATTATGAAGTATTTAAATAATGAATAGAGTCTGAAAGAAGATATTTTACAGTACTAAAAACCCACACACTATGTGAATGAGACTGACGCTCTCACTGATACAACGACATTCCAGCAATTAGAGCTGAGAAGGTGCTACTGAGTGACATGTCATACCTTCTACTAGTGAGGTGAGTAGAGTGACATTGGCTGCTTTCCTTCTTCCTGCAGGCAGGTTGAGCCCAATCTTATCCAGCTTTTCTCTCAGAGAGCGACCTCCATTTTTTGACTTGGCTCTGCAGAAGGAGAACACAAAAACACATTCAGTAAACAGCTGTGAATTAATTCAGACAGATAATTACAACTTTTCCAAAACAATGTGTTTAAGTTTTTAAAAAAAGAATTAATGGAGGGTTAGGATATGTATATACCATTTTCCAATCCATTCAGACAGAATTTGTCTTTAATTAAAATCTGCTTAAGGGCATTTAACCCATAAATTAAGAGGCACAAACAGAATAGATGTTGCCGTCTTATTGCCCTGGCTTCTGCAGGAAGTCTAATTGTCCACTTTTGATAACAACTAAATCTCACAAACAGGCTCTCATGACCTAAAAAACACTTTTTTCCCAATTGATGCTTCAACTCAAAAAGCGTAGCAAGTAAATCCCTCATACATGCATTTACAGAAACACTTACTCCCCACTTGCAAGGGCCGATTCAGTTTCACGCATGATTGGAGGGCAAGCTCTCCCTCTCCATGGCGGGTGAGAGAGGGAGCATCTTTAGGAAGGCATGTGTGTGTGATTGCCCCCACCCCCTCGACCCTGTCTCCCCCCCACTCCCTCCGCTAACGATCCCCCTCCTAGTGCTATATGACCTACTTAAAAATGTCTGCGATTGTGCATGTGTGTGTGTGTTGGTGTGTGCATGTCAGCATTAACACAGGCACATGGGAAGTGGCAAACGTGCACTCCTAGCGCAAAACGCTCGGGTCAGGGGTGGAGAGTACATACTGTAACCTCACAGTCCCTCAACAGACTGCCACACTAACATATGTGCCGTAAGGTCAACTGCGCCGCCACAGATAAACCTACCCATGCTGCAACCCCTGACGAACACACACACCCACGGAGTCTTTCGATTGGTACTAACTGTGTTGATGTAACCTATCCCCAGAGCAAGCAAAGAACCAAAATTGCAGACCACACAAAGAATGTCACGAACCTTACGCAAAAAACTGATGAGCCAAAGCAACTGAGCCAAGCTGTGCTTTCAGAAAAGCCTTTCCCATGGGCTGCTGAGCTTTCGTCTACAGATCTGTTGAGCTGCAACTTCTCAGTTTGAGGATTATATATATCTAAGGCAATCAGACAACCCAATCAAATGCTTGCAGATTACAGAGATATTGATAAAGAAAACAAGGAAATCAATTATGTTTGGATTAGTTTCTATTATATTTTGGGAAACAGTGCTACTGTGTTACGCTGAACAAACTGAGACGTTTACTCAAATTAAACTTATTAATAATATGTGTGGAGGCATTTATAAACCTAAACTGTATTGGGTTAGTTAAAAGCAATAATATGAATTTTAAATAAAACATATTAGGTTCGACTTGAACACTTTTACAAACAACAGGGAAATATTAAGTCCAGCTTGCTGTCATGTTGAATGAGTCTGAGCTCTGACCTGCGTAAAACCCCTCCCAGGAGCGATGCATTCAGGCACTCAGGGGGTGACAGACGTCTCTGGACCTCAGCCACGGTAACCTTGTACTTGGATGTGGAGCTCAGCAAGGAGAGACGGCCCGGTACGGAGCAGAACACCTCTGTGGGGTTTGATACCATGCCCAGCAGAGACTCTTTGTGGAAAGGAAGACACAACGCGTTGCCTTTGGGTAGGCTGACAGGCCCTGGAGGGAGGAGAAGAAAAATGTAGGTAAGCTCAAGAGTGAAGGAGAACAAAAGGAAGGCAAAAAAGAGTCTGGTTGTGCAACATAATTTGTTCATATATGCACTGTTCCTGTGTATGTACATAACCTTTAATCATCCTAATCCTCTCTGTGCAACAAGGAATCTGTGTTTTCTTGAAGTAATCACAAGGAAAAGTGTGTATGCAGCTCTGCACGACCAGCAATGTGCATTGCGTGCCTAAAGGTTAAACTGCTAAAACACCCTCATGGCAAACAGCATCCACAAACAGGTACACACATACAGCCCCTCATCTAAGTCGCAGATACACCTCAGTACTGTTTATTATTTGGTCTTAAAGGATCTAATATGGACGATGTGTGTGTTTATTGCTAGTTCAAAAATTAGACAACGTTTTCAACCCCCCACAGAAGCACTGACAGTCATCGGACAAACAAAACAGTACAGCACACTACAAAACATAGCTATCTTTATTCTCACCCGCAAGAATTCCCCCCTGATAATAAGTCCTCTGTAAGCGATCAAGGTTCCTGCCACCTCGTAGTCCTAATACTGAGACAAAAATCACAGAGTCACATGAGTGCTTTAAGGCTCCTCTGGGGCACATGGCTGGGAATGACATGCCATTGTTTACAAGTGGAAAGCCTAGATTGCACATAGTGTGCCCTTGAGCATGGGAACAATATAATGAGCCATCACTTATTTATGTAAGACATGGAGATTGGTTGGTTTGCTGTGCAAATGGCTTTCTGCATGTAACTATGCATCGTAACATTGTAACACTTAAGCAACACTGGATTGAATGTAATAACACATATCATCAACATTGCTAGTGAGGCATGATAATAAGAAAATAAAGCATTTTAAAATACATACTTTTACAATTAAGTATTATGTCATAGTGTATAGGTTATTAGAACGTAATGAATCTGTCTATCTGTTGCCTGCATGGTTTTATTAAATCTAAAACGCTTAGCAGTGGAATAATGTTGCTCAAGCGGATCTTGCTCTGACTCAAAGTCTGTTTAATTAAGCCCTGGTGACAAAACAGCGGGAATAGGTTCTTCCTCAAAACAGTTCATGTCCCAACAAATAACTAAACTGTCCTTCACATGCAAGCATAATGCCACACCCCGCCAAAGGCTGGTTCTGCAGAGCCAAACACTGCTTCAAGATCAACTCATAATTTCGTGTTAACGTGAACTGAAAAGCGCTGCAATTGCAAGCTTAACCAGCATAAAGATGATCCAAAGCTTTTCTCTTCTCTCACAGTCAACACGAGGTTGTGTGATTGCTCAATTTTCCTGTCTTGTCAGCTATAGCCTGTCGGTTTTTTTTTTTTTTAAAGGGATCAGTTCTTTCCCACTGGGCATCCATTCAAGGACCTTCACCAACTGAATAGTCTAAGGATCACATCGAGCTTAGATAAGTGCATCTCATGGCTGTGAGGATTAGCTGTGTGTGCAGTGCAAGTACAAATACACGACTCCTCCTTTGCTGTGCTCTCAAACTGAGTGTCCTGACATGTCGCTGTAGAAGATATTGTTATGACAATTCAAAGTATGTAGAGAGTGAAAAAAATCCTTACAGTAGATTTCCAGCCCTTGTCAGTTATTACTGCATCTTTATGTTGTTACATATGTTCCAGTTCTTTTTAAAATGGGATTAAAGTTTAGATTGCTCATAAACATGCAATAAACTCACCTTTTTTGATGACTGTCTGGTCAGCCATAATAATACTGTGGTCATCATGCTGATAAAAAAAGAACAGAAACAATGATAAGCAACCAAATGCATTTTTTGCACACCAATGATAAATGCATAACAAGTTGAAATTAATTTCTGATAAAGTGTTCAATGTCTGTCCAAATTGTTCTTTCATGCAAAACAAAGAAAACTATGTGATGAAAATATGTTTAATGTTCAATAACCCACGGAGTTAACATTATACCTGAATTGTATAATGGAAAATGTATTATTGTCCCAAAATGTATTCCAGTATTTGGCTACCTGTGCAAGCAGATAAAATGACACAGATGCCGCGTGCAAGAACACACGCGCACCTAATAGGTACTCGCTGAAACAGCAATGGGAACCCCCGGCTGCCTCACCTGCCAGCGGGTACACACATAATTCTCTAAAGTGTAAATTCAAGTATTAATCTCAATACAATCCACTCACTTGAACGTCATCCATCCCGTGGCCCATGTCGTGCATTCCCATGTCACCAATACCCGACGACTCTATGCTGTGCACGTGCGGGGGCAGCAGCTCCGGCCGGCGGAAGCCTTCCCTCCTCACCCCGGAGGAACCATCCAGGCCCAGGATCTGACTCGCCAGGCCGCTCCTCCCGTGCCCACCGAGCCCATCCTGGCCCTGCCGCCCGGGCCACTGCTGCTGGTTCGAAGACGGAGACTGGTGCAGCGAGTTGATGTTGAAAGGGTCGCCGAGGTGCGAGTAGGGGTCACTGGACTGCGGGTAGGAGATGGGCTGGTAGGGAGGCGGGAAGTACGGCGGCTGGAAGTCCGAACTGGCTGAGTGTGAGAGGGAGGGAGACGGGCTGTAGAGGTGCTGGCTGACCGCTGGCAGGTGAGGCAGCCGGGGGTTCCCATTGCTGTTTCCGTCGTGCCTTTCCTGAGGGACGGAGGAGACATGTCAACTGAGAGCTGACAACAAGATGGCAGGTATTGTGACATGTGTCCCTCAAGGGAATCAAGTGTCTGTTACCCCCTGATATGATGTCCTCTGGATAAGGATTTAAAGAGGAGTGTGAATATTTTCATGCGATGTATTAAATATTAACGTGGTCTATATTTTATTATTATTTAGCGTAGGAAAGAAAGACATTTATTATTTAAATTGTAGGCTATTAGTTTAAATTATAGAATATTGTTTTTACTTAGGCTACTATTAATGGCCCCAGTTTACGGTGGAATACAATAAGCTATACACTCCTTTTGTGGTAAATACACGTGTTTATTATTATTATTATCGTTGTTGTTGTTAGATATATTACATAGGCCTACTCATTATTATTACCAGTTATATTGTCGTTGAAATAATAATGTAGCCTACATGTTCTAAAATTGTGGACTTTCTTCTAAACTTCTTAACTTTTTATGACGATATTGTCCTGTTGTCACCTTTTTTGCTGATTGTTTATTATTTCCACTTTATCGTGTTTTAATTTATCATTAGGATTTTTTTTTAAATCGACTTTTAGTAACACTATAGCTACTTGTTTGAAGTGTAATGTCCGATGGCAATCAAAAGACAGTTTCCCCTCGTTTTGTAACTATCGAAACTCACCTCACAGTCGTCCTCATACTTCACGTTGTCGGCTAATTTCCACAGCATTTTGACAGAGAAAAAAGCTCTCCGTTACAAAAGAAAAAGAGCAAAAGAGAAAATATCTTGTCGCCTGCGAGTTAATCCAGGTATGAAGAAATCAAGAGCTTCCTGGTGATCATGAACCACCTTGTTGTTGAGCTGAAGAGGCGAAGTTGCAGGTGTGGGCTAAAGTGACGAACTGACCGACCGACTGACTATCCAAACACAGATATGAGTTTCCAACAGCCACTATGGGAGAAAATTATCGTTGTCAAGCAATATTTCCTCCCCCTGTCCGTTCAATGTGTTCTGTAGTTCTGTTGTGGAAGTGGGCGAAAACGGGTGCATATAAGAAACTTGACTCCCTCTTATGGACGAAAAAAGCGATGTTCAGTCTTGTTGGTGCACACATGAGCACTGTAGCCTACTATATCTACACGGCCGCTCCGATGGGGCGTCACCCTGCGATGACGTCAGTAAAAAGGGAAAATTAAAATATTGCTGATTGGCGGGACAGAGGTCCAATCAGAATTGTGTCCGTCTGTACAGTGACATTTAGACCCTATGACTTTAGTAGAGCACACTTTCCATGGCTTACAGTGAGTTAAGTCTCTCACCACCTAGGCCTACTAGTTTGTTTTACTGTGTTTATTTGTATCTCCTCCAGCCTACTTGAAGAAAGAGCCAACGTTTTGACACCTGTTGGCTGTCTTTAAGGATTATAAAAGTTGTGTAGGCCGACTGCTATGGTGCTTTACAAATAGTCTTACAATTAGGCCTATACTTCTTAATATAAGTATGTTTAACTATTAATAACATTTTCATTTTTAACTTCTGCTGAGTAAATATAAAAAAATGGTTTGAGACAATCCGTTTCAGAACTAAGATAACTCGGGTAAATTATGTTTCAGTGACAGGTTGCTAGGTTACTGAGGTCCTGGTGGTGGTAATTTTGATGCTGAGTGGAATGCCTCTCGGCCAATCACAGTGCTCGGTTCAATAATTATGATGGTGTTCTTAACAATTATTTAAAAACATGCTGCATTTAGCCTTCTGTTTAGGCCTACTTTAAATAGTAAAAATGTCTTTAAGTAGGTTTATGAGGCCTATTTATTTTATCACAGATGTTAAAGTCAGGATGTAGCAATATAAATAACTGTTTGCTTGTTGACATTAGCGTTTTTAATTAATCACGCCAACAATACGAATTGTTTACCTTAAATTATGTATATAAAAAATAATGTAATAATCTAATTTTTCCATAAGGGATGTTATAAATAATAATACTATATTTAATGCAGCTGGCTTGTTCGCATTACTTTGATCAATGCCTATTTAAAATAGATCAATGTGCTAAATGACTCTAAATGACTTACAGTTGCAAGTCAGCTAGATATTAAGGAATACCTCTCTCTGATTGTATTCATAAATAGAATAATAGTCCTTCAAACAAACCCCATGACATTGTGATGTCGGTGTTTCACAGTGGTGGTTGAGTGCTTGTCTCAAACCGCAATAAGCCCGAGGGTTTAGCAGCATCATTCTCTTAAGAAAACCTCCAAAGCTCAAAGGATCTCAACAAACAACTCTTTCTCAACTTAATTTACATTTTTGGTGGAGCTTTGCAATGTCACAAACAAGACTGCTTTGAAGCTTTGATTTGCATCGAAACCTAAACTGAGGACAAAGGACGTTTTTTCTCCTTTATTTTGAATTAAAACAACATAAGAGTCCATTTTTAAATGTAGCATTTTTAAATATCTTCTGCAAGACTAAATAAGAATTGACGTCCAATATTATGAGCAATGTTATCGAATTTAATTATTTGATGAGTAAATGTCAGATTATAATTTGTGAGATTAATGGACAGAGTTTTGTATTTTTAGGATCACAGCCTGTCGCGTCCACGCTGTGATCCTCGGCTGTGGGAACAACGACGAAGGATTATCTTTTTTTTGCGTGTTGGTCCTTGGCTTGTTGTGATGCGAAGCGGAAGTGAAATGCTCACTGATTAAATGTTATTTTACGTTGGAAGACACATAGAGCAGACCTAAAGGGAGTTAGTCACGCTTGGCCTGACGGTGATGTTTTTGAACAAATCTGATGCTCATCTTGTCATTTCAATGACAGTCGACTGCAGTGACAACCGGCTCATGATGTCAGGTGTAAAGATTAAGATCCATGCCAGGGCAAATACAAAAAAGTCAATAAGTGAATTCTGCTTAGTGATTTTCCACTAGTTAGAAATATTGCCTATATTTACTGTAATTATGTGAAAGGTAATTGTAATGTTTACTGCGTATCAACAATACTACAAAGCTTATAAGGTCATGACATTCAAATGTTAATAGTCTATGTTTTTACACGGTTTTATTTCTCCAAATTGCGATTAAACAAGTATATCTAATGGGATTTATTATAATGTATGTTTAGTCAATGGGACTCAAACTGCATTTGAGTCGCTTTAGAGTTCCCGTTTCTGCAGGACTGCTTACTCGTTAATGTTATATAATTCAAATAAAACAGACATATATTCAGCTGTTTCTTTTAAAATAAAAACATGATAGAGAATGTTGTCTAACTAATGTTTAATTCTATTTACGTTTTTAAAAGCATCACTCAAGTCATTTGTAATCCAGTAGCTCAAAACAAATGTGTCGTTTGAGAGAAGGTCTTGGCCTTATTGCCATAAATCACAGACGCCATTGCAAACAGGTAATTTAAAGTCATAAAAACAAATAAAGTCTCAGCACGCGATAAACATACTGCAGGTTGGGTTAAAGTCAGTCAGCTGTAGGAGGAAAACACACAGGGAACTCACCCTCCAGTCTATCCTCTCCAGTAGAGACATATGCAAGGCTCCAGTAACAGCAATCCCACAGAGAAGCAGCGAATGAGTGAAACCATGAGAGGTTTACGTTGCTGACTTCACCTGATGGTCGTGCACTGCGCATGCGCCAATCAGTGTAATACACCTTAGTGGTATAAATCAAAACAAACCATCCATCGAGGAAAGCCCTCATTTATGATGATTTATATAAGGCAACCTATATTAAAGAGATTAAGGTGAGAAAGGGAGCACACATATGTATTTAAAATTGTGTTTTGAAATAAAGTAAACTGAATAGCATATGACTCACACGATTAGATATTTAACAGAAATGTAAGTATTGTTAACCCCATAATTATCTATTGTTGAGTAAAAATGTCATAGAGGCTAAAGTGTAAGGAAAGGTGAAATAAGACGTGGGGAAATTTGAAGATGAGGTAATTACACCACCAAAGCCACATCGCCCCAGGCTGACCAAAATAATCTGCTTTCAAAAGCCACTGAAGCTTTTTAAGGCCTAAAATGGCTCTTGTTATCTGATCTCCCAAATACTTCGGCTTAAACTAATGAACACACCAAAGTGTCTTCACTATGCGGTTAAGAATGTAGTTTACATATCTTCCTCTGAGAAAATAATCTCAACTCTCTGATCGGGAGCTCGGACACCTGCCATAAAACAAAGCCTTATCAAACTACAGTTTCAGATCATTAGGAAATATAAGAGGAACAATTGTGCGTGTCTAAGGCTATACAAGATTTCATGTTTCAGAACAACATATTCATTCACAGTTTAATGTATATGACTATTATGTCTTTGTTGTTAACAGGCTGTATTAACCATTTTGTGTTTCTTGAAAAATAAAATGACGGAAAATTGAAAAACATGGGCCATATAGAGGCCTATTTCAAACTTGTTTTTTAGGCCATAACATTCCTCATGCATGTGATTGGTAAATGTATCTGAAGAATCATCTCAGATCAGAAACGTATCTGGTGCTCCCCAAGAAATTAAGGAGTCAATTTAAATAAATACAAGACAAACGAAAGGGCTGTTAGTAACGAAATAAACCATTTTCTTTGCACATGCAGGAGCAAAGGCATTTTCAACAAGAAGTCGATTACAAAATACATTGAATTAGAAAACGAACATGTTTTTATTATTTCGAGAGCATTATTTCTTTGTGAACCAAATATTCAATGATCTACCGTGCGCAAAGATTTACATCAGCACACAGAAAAACACGTCATAGGCTGCTGTTGGATGGAGACAGAAGGACGCAGTGTTTATTTAATTTTTGTAGCTACAAAGATTGGATTATTTTGGTGTAATTTACATTTAATGAGAAGCAGGCGGACTACTCTTTGTATGATCGTTATACACCCAGCGACCAGTCTGTACATTGAGAGGAGGTCCTGGAGAAGACTCTGCTGCCACCTGGTGGCCAAACCCCCACATTACCAAATGTTTGTGTTCAGTTTGACTTGAGATCGATTTTATCTTAACTCTTATAAACAGGAAAATATTCATATACTGATGTACGGGTAACAGGACCGAGGTGTAAAATCAAAGTACTTCTACAGTATTTGAGTATTACTACTTGACACTTATGTTTCTGCAAAGGCAATATAATGCACTGTTATCTCCACTACATAGATTTTTACAGTGAATACAATCACATTGTTTTGCAACTGTAATATACACATTACACATGCATGCATGCATCAGCAATGATAGTCCCTTAAAGTGGCATCCACTACCCTGTCATTGAAAAATCAGGAATATACCATTTGATCATTATTAACGTATTCAAAAGTTTGACTACTGCACACGAGGCATTCTCAGTGAAATGTCAAGTTTTCACATCACACTTGTTTAAATTGCATATTGGGCCAGGATTGAATTCTAAACTTGTTTATGTCAACTGGTCCTGCTCATGTACATTTACATGGTTTAATTTTGATGCATTTAAATAGGTGTGGATACACTGTTACCAGCACCACTGGGCTATTCAATGGAAAGCTGCTGTTTTGATCTCCTGTCACCTCAGACGACAGGAGTGGACATCTGTGCGAGACCGTATGTGTGGCAGCAACAAAGCAACCGGTTTGTTCTGTTTTAGGAATATTTATGAGGTTAGATGCTGCCAGCGGGGTGTCTTGATTAACAGCCTGTACAAACCTCCTAGCAGGTGCAGTTTTCACACCTCAGGCTCCTACATGTAAGCTGCTGTACATATGAGGAGCTTTTTATAGTTTGTTTTTGGTGTGAATTTTCCCTTGGAGGTCACTGCAGGGAGTTGTTGCCACTTATGTCATCACAGGTAATGATTGCTCTTTCTTGCACACAGAGCATTGTGTAACCATTCCCTGTATTACAGGCATAACACATTACAGTGAATTTGACTTGTAATGCAGGCTGCAAAAATACACAGTGAGAACAAATCAAATTAATCAGATTGAATAACATTTATTTTGCTTGTTACATGCAGGAAAAAATATATGTTGTCTAAAAGCCAACAAGAAGAACACATTATGATACCCCTAAAAAAAAAAGAAATGTCTGAAGAAGGCATGGACATTTTAATTTGCTAGATTTTCCAATAAACTGGAGCAAAAACATTTAAAATGTTGAAGCTTGTTATGCTGAAGAGGGAGGAGGATCACAGAGCTAATATAATGTTTTATTGTCATGCTACACTAGTTGTGTGGGTCTTTGTATGTGTCAGTTGTGATTTAAAAGTATCAGAAGTTTCAATTAAGAAGGAAGATGCCTTTAACTTTATTTACGTATTAAAGTAATTTTTAACCAACTTTTAAAGATATAAAATAAAACGTAAAATGAATACAATTACTGAAATGTCGACTGCTATGAATGTGGGCAACGTTTAAACTGATAGAAGTTTTAAGGAAGAGGGGGTGAAAATGACCAAATGGTTTTAATTTATTTAAAATATATAAACTTAACAACACAGCAGGACCTGCTTTAAAGATGGAGACCTTTTGAAGTGTTTTGCACTAATTGGAGAGTGAATTCAAGCCTATATACAGAACCTGCCTCGACTTATTGAATCCTGCAGAGATCACTCTGAAAAGCTCCACTAGGAGACAGCAGAGCGGCAGAGATGATAAACTCAGCTAAGCATCAATCCTCAGAGCACCTGTGACGAAGGACACGAGGATCCTGGGTAATACATGGGGGAGGAAAGTTACAAAACACATAGCCTGAACAGCTTTGGGAGCTATTAACAAAATGTTCACAACATGTAAACACTGGGCTACTGGGGATTGAAGGGACGAGTGGGAACTGAGTCTGACTTTTGGGGCCATTATTACAGGTCATGTGGGTAATGAGCGTGCGTCTGTGTGATGCTGCTGGGTGTGTAGAACTATCAGTAATGGGTCGCATTATGTGGAGCAATCTAAAAACGGCGACCTTTGCTGTGAGTGATAGCTTCTAGAAGTGATACGGGGTGTGGGTGACCCAGTTGGATGTCTGAGCTTTTGTTCGCTTGGCAGAGCTGTGGGTGGTGAACAAGGATTTGAAGACTTCTGATTTCTCTGTCATTTCCTGGACGGATCTCTTGCTGGCGGCGGATTTCGACAATTTGGAGCCTTCAGTGGAGCTGGAGGTTCCGGCCACATCTGGTGGTAAAATGGCAAAAGAATGATAACTTATTAAAATAGTGGTAATATCCTCTTTACCCATTCTTAAACCATTATTTGTTGCATTGTTCTGATACAGTTTTATATTTTTTTATTTTATAATCAGCAAATTATCTAACTGGAGTGATATTTATTAACTCAACATATAACGGAAAAACGGATGTGTTAGAAGAACAGGCTAGCTGGGCACTCTGTTTCTTAGTTCAAACTCAACTCCAGTAAAAGTAAGCCTTTGTGTTTGTTTTTCTGACACCGAGCCCATGTTTTATTAAATGTTCTTTAGTGTTTAAAGTACTTTTTGAAGACATAACCTGATGGCCAGCTCATTAAACAAACTACATTATTATCCGTCTATTGTATTCATTTGGCAACAATTCTGACAAGAAACCTAATGTGTTAAACGGTTCTCTTTCAGAATGACTGAATACACGTTGTCTGTGTGAAGTATTTATCAAAGAATCCTGTGAGTTTCTACCTGACTGGCTGCTTTCACCATCAGTTTGTAGAGAGCTCTCCTTTCCATCCACTTCAGGACCTTTGGTGTCGTCTGCGGTGAGAAACAAGAGGCAGACACAATCATTAAGACACAGAACTGCATTGCATTTTTCATTCAAATAAGCCAACTATGATTAAGGAAAATCCTAGCCAGTTATATATATAATAAATAAAAACAAATTATTACATTACATTGCATTTAGCTGACGCTTTTATCCAAAGCGACTTACAATAAGTGCGTTCGACCAACAAAATACAAACGTGAAGAAAACAGAATCATATAAGTACATCAGGTTTCATAGAGCCAAACATTTCAAGTGCTACTCAACTGGCTTTAGGTAAGCCAGTCCTTTATTAGTATATAAGTGCTTTGTTAATAGTTCTATCGCTCGAAGTGGAGTCGAAAGAGATGAGTTTTCAGTTTGCGCCGGAAGATGTGCAAGCTATCTGCCGTCCTGATGTCAATGGGGAGCTCATTCCACCATCTTGGAGCCAGGATAGCAAACCCACGTGTTTTCGCCGATGGGAACTTGGGTCCCCCTCGCAGCGAGGGCGCAGCGAGCCGTTTTGCTGATGCAGAGCGTAGTGCACGCGCTGGGGTGTACGGTTTAACCATGTCCTGGATGTAGGAAGGGCCAGATCCATTCGCAGCATGGTAAGCAAGTACCAGTGTCTTGAAGTGGATTCTAGCAGTTACCGGAAGCCAGTGAAGGGAGCGGAGGAGCGGCGTGGTGTGGGAGAATTTAGGAAGGTTGAAGACCAGACGAGCCGCTGCATTCTGGATGAGCTGCAGAGGTCGGATGGCACATGCAGGTAGACCAGCCAGGAGGGAGTTGCAGTAGTTTTAATTATGAAACGTTTTTTCATTTATTCATTGCATGAGCCCATGTATCTACGTGGAGAATGTTAGAACATAACTTGTAATGATGAGCGTTTTTCCTGCAATCTAAAATAAGCAGGGAGAGAAAATAACTGTACTTTTTCTTTTGTTCTATTGAAACTTCTGATTTGAGTAACAAATATAAACATCAAATGTTTGAGGTGAGCCCTGTGCAGTTCTGGAGAACAAAACAGGAGACCACACCATGTGTTTGAACACTGACTTCCTGTAAAACACCCATCGTCTCATCACAAGAAAGTCTCCAAAAACCTGTAATACCTATAGACTGAAGTAGTTAGTAGATGATTCAAAAACATGATTTTTTATTCATTATCATTATGGTGTAACATTGTGCAGTCATTCTCACACAGTATGTAAATGTTTAATCCAGTGGCATATACTGCAATGTCAGGTGAGGTATGTGTTTGATTAACCCAGCCAACCCCACCTATGCAAAAGCCTTATCCAAATAGAGAAGTAAAGTGTTGATGCTGCTTGGTTTTGTTTATGTAAATGCTTAACAGATTTGCTTTAACATGATGGCTCCTCCAGGCTTCACACAAACCTTTTGACTCTGATGGTGTGGCCACTGTTTCAGCTGCTTTGCTCTTCTTTGACTTCTAAAACAGGAGAGATAATTGGATTAGAAAACATAACATTTTGTTGTTTATATTGAAGAATTGGTTTTGGAAAAGTACTGTATTTATGATCACATGATTCAGTTTACAAAAAAAACAATACAAGTGACAAATCCTTTTCCAAAGCTAATCCATAGGAAATCACTCAAAAATACAAATGAAAATGTATACACCAAAAACCCACTCCATCCCATCATCATCGTGGATCAGCTGTAATTATGCTTAAAGGGTACCTATAATGTTTTATTGGGGTTTTCCCTTTCCTCTAGTGTGTTCTATAGGTTTTTGTGCATGTACATAGTTTCCTACACTCCCCACTTACATCACTATGTAACACTTGCGCTTCTATTGGATAGCGCTCCAACACATTGTACGTGATGGGCTAAGGGGCGGGACATCTCTAAGCGTTGGACCAATCACAACAGAGTCGGCCAGCTAACCAATCAGAGCAGACTGGGCTCTGGTTTCAGACAGAGGTTGAAAAGAGGGGCTGCAGCACAGGCAGTATGACAAAAATAAAAAGCTTCTAAACATTAAAGCATGGAGACATGTCACAGTAGAAGCACGGAATACAAATATGGACCTGAAGATTAGCATATTATGTCCTTTTTAAATGAAACCCACCTTAGTTTTGGCTTTGGCCCGCTTTTGTTCCATCTTCTCCCTCAGCTTCTCCCCCTCCTCCTTAGTGCCGTTGAGCACGACAAGATCCTCATCTTTGAACAAGTCCCCGCACTAAAACACAAAGATGGCAGACCAGGTTAGAGATACTGGCAGTAGAGCTTCTAGTGGTGATATATCCTTATTGAAATCTGACAGGTAAGAAGAATGAATATTGAAGTCTGTATCATATTATAGGGTAATGAGTTGTATCTGAAGAAATGCTGAGGAACAAAGCTGGTTGTGATGAGTATTTATAAAAAATGTGTTTACGAATTAAATGTTATATATGTTATATATATTAGTGAGGCTATTTTTTACATGACTTATTATTTAAACATGTATGTGTTTAAAAGGTCTCCTATTTTGTTATTTCTATGCATATAATATGGTATGATATATAAAAATATAAAAACATGTCTATGATGAGTTTTGCTCAAAATACAAACAGATCATGCATTTTAGACATCCCTCATAGTCATATCATATCATATATATTAAGCGTCTTTGAGTTGTGAAAAGCGCTATATAAATAAAATGCATTATTATTATTATATCCCTCTGTTTTAGCCCTGTTATGGCGCATTTCCACTACAGCGTGGAGCTCGCTTTAAGCGTGCCGAGCCGTGCGGGGCCCGTTTTTGGTTGCGTTTCCACTTAGCGTAGTACCGGCTAGCGGGTACTATTTCACAGTTTTCTGGCCCCATAAAATCGAGGTTCTTTCCGGGCCAACAACCAGGCTGAGTCGGGCTGAGTATGCTAAACTAGAGAGAATCGCTGGCAAGGGGGCTACAACTACAACAAGATGAACATATTTGACCGTGATTTAATTGTAATACACGTTTCAAAATGATGCCGAAGTAACAACATACTGATACCGGTTAGTAAAAACCATGAATTAATGCTTTGACAAGTCTTCAGACAGACGGCAGGCGAAAAACCATTTTAAATGCGTGTTTTCTGAATGGAGATCGGCTAAGCTAACGTAAATGCTCCGACCGTCCACACTCACAACAACGGCCTATACAGACATAAATAAACCAGCGACTGTATTCGCCATGACACAGGCAGTCTGTGGTTTTTACTTGTTTCACTTTTGTCTAGTTTCTGAACAGATATGAAGAGCTGTGAGCTCTGAGTGCTAAGAGCTAACGGCTGTGTTGTTTTTCTGGGGTTCTCATTGAAGATGACGTCAAGATGCGTTACTATAGATACTACCCCTGTTCCTAAACTGTAATGGAAATGCGCCATAAAGTGAGCCAGTCGTAACCAGGCCTAGCCATACCGAGCGAGGCCATGTAGTGGAAATGCGCCATTAGAGAACTGTTGGTTCGGGGTCCTTCGCTTGAAAAAAAGAGGAGGGGGAGCTAATGCCTACTCAGATTCAGCTCAATGCTCCCGTGATTAAACGCCATATCATGTTCCAAACCACATCAAGGATTATTTCTGAAACAGTATGGAGATAAAATGCTTCTTCTCTTGCCGGTTTACCACAAGGTGAGTTCCTTTTATTATTTCCTGCTTCTTTGACACATGTTCTCTCCAGTACCGCGTTAGCTCTGAGTGTTAGCAATGCTAATGTAAACAAAGGCCATATTACGTCCAAAACACGTTGCGCATTATTTCTGATAGCAACTTTCTGATAGTGCCGTGGGTCTGCATTTCCGATATTATGTCATAACGGACGCAAATCTGGATCAGCTCCGTTGTACCCCCGTTTTTAGAGATGTGGGGGAAACGAGAGAGGGTTTTGTTTTCTGACACTTTGTGAGTTCCCTGACGCACCGGGGACACATATTTAAGTATGAAAGACATCAAAGAGTGCATTTTGCATGATAGGTCTCCTTTAAAGTATTGCTGTTTTGTGGAAAGTAATTTGACCAGCACATTGGTGTCTATGAATGTGAGTAAATTATGCTTTTCTTTTGACAGCAGTTTCAGCCACCTGGTGGATTTATTTATAATGGTACTTAGGTGGAGGAGGGGCTGGCAAAGGCAAATGGAGCAAGGGGGGCCACAGAAAACATTGTTCAGTGCCGAGTTTGTTCTTGAAATGTTGCAGGAAACTCCACAAATGTCATTCCTGCCTTGACAATGGACTTCTTCCCTGACGCAGATTGGCTCTAGTTAGTTCCTTCCTTTGTTTTGTTAACAGCATTTCCCTGCACTGCATAGAGAAGTGCTTAATATTAGTTTGATTTTTTACCGCATCACATACCGATCTAACACTGTTATTATATTTGTTATAAATACGATCATTATTAATTAAAAAAGTTACAATGAGCCTTAAAGAAATGAGAACAGAATTTTACTAAACACAATTATAGACAGCATGGAATGATAACATGTTTGATTAATACTATATGAACGGTAAGTATGTTGGCAGCACTGTAGCATGTTAAATGACAGCAGATGAGCTTTTAAAACAATTAACTATGATTATTTAAAATTAACAATAAGTGCAGGTGCCTTGTCTTTACCTTTAACTCACAAATAAATCCTCAACTTATGTCTGTTTTATTCAATACTGTAGCAAATGTAAATTAAATGATGTATTTAGAAATAGACAGTATATTTGTTTGTTAGATTTAAGAAGGTTTTCTATAAAGAGGTTAACCAATTCCTAAAAGGCATCATCCAAATAGATCTAGTACCCACCATGTGTAAATCTCTGTAAAAACACACCAGCTCATAACATGAATACTTAGGAGTCCAGAAACCACACTTTAACAAACGTCAGGTGCTATCCAGATAAGGAGATGTTGTTCTACTTTGACTAGCATAGCATACCTCTGTGGTAATATTCCATACACTGGAGTGGAAAATAGTCAAATGACTCAGGCTATTTCAAAACAAAACATAGTGCTGGGAACCTTAATGATAGCAATTCTGAAAGATAAACTTTCAGTTCTTCCAACCACATCATTTCCCTTCTCATTGTATTTACATGCAAGTGCTGCCTTTGAATCACTTGAGAGTAAAAGCCAAGCTCAGAACACAGCAAAGCAGATGGAAACGTGCACATTCAAATTCAGATGGAGTCAGATTGACATACACAAATTGATTAATGGAAAATGGGGTTGCAGAAATTATTTACCAAAGAATGTAACCAGCCACATGTTGTCTAATGAACTGACTTAAAATGAATGATACCAATGGACCAGTGCATTATAGGGCATCTCGCAAGAAACAAACGCTACCACTGAGTACTGTGTTTTGCTGAATTATAAACATGTTTGTTGTTCTGGATTATGGATGTTAACTATTCAAATGTGTTTCCCCTTCGCATGTTAATTCAACACTTAAATGGTAAATAACAGGATTGAGACACAGAGACTTGAGGGTCAGGTCACTTCTGAATGATCTCACTCTGAAAAAACAATCATTAAAACTATTTTGCATTTCTCCTTGATAGGCAATAGTACAAGGATTGACTTTAAAGGTCACCTATTATGCAAAATCCACTTTTTCATGTCTTTTCTACATAAACATGTGTCCCCTCTGTGTAAAGAGATTCTGAAAGTTTCAGGAAAAAAGATTCTCTCTCTTTTTGATCCATTTCTATAAAAACCTGTCTGAAAATGAGCTGATCAGATTTTGGCCACTTTATGATGTCATAACGATTTGTTGGCTTGTGTAACCATTAGCCAATCACCAACCAAGGTAACCCCCCCCCACCTTATCACCTGAATCTCCTCCTAGAGCACCATTGTGTTCTTTCTAACCAAATCTCTCTCAGAGGGGCGTGGGGAGGGGCTCCTTATTTTCATCTAAAGTAACAGACAGAGAATCAGCACTTTTGAAACAGGGCTGAAACAGAGGGGATTATGGGATGCTGCAATGCACGATCTGTTTGGTATTTGGAGCCAAACTCTTCAGAGACATGTTTTGTATATAACTAAGACCTATAATGTATTGATGAAAAACGGTATAATAGGGAACCTTTAAGAAAAAAACTCTAATCCATAATTGTTGAGTCATTTAAAAAATCCAACATTAACACACCATTACTGTAACAGAAATATTAAACCCCTGAGTAACCAGCAGGGGATCTATTGTGCTGCTGTAATGCAGGCTCAGTGGGTGTGAGCTCCAGCCATGCGCTCTGCTAACACAAGAGGGATAATCTCAGAAGCTGACCAAGCAGCAAACAAACTGGGTGCTGCTCTGAAGTCAGTCACTCTGCTGTCGCTGCTACCACACAGGACACAGGCTGCTAGTGAGCTGAGATTCGTATCATCAGGAAGATAGACAAGTCAGCGAGAACTGCAGAGCTAAACCAGCTACTGGACAGAAAAGCCATCAAATCAAAACTCTAATGAGGAAGTGGATTTAATTCCCATTTGAGAGGAAAGAAGAAACCAACCCGAGTTCAGAGGAATAAAGAATAACCAAAAGGACAAAATGCAAGACATCAGTGAGTAGGAAGCAGTATGGGGGAGGAGAGTGGAAAAACCGTAGGGGGAGAGAGTGCGTTTGAGTGTGTTCCAGTGTGTCAGGTGTGTGCATGGGTGTTACTGCGGGTAACCAGGCAGGGACGGAGCTCGTCTCGTGGGAATGTGGGGGAGAGATATAAATCAGCAATGAATACAACAACAGAAAAATAATATTCATATGTAAAGCCCTCTTATCGCAACATCTCAAGCTCAGAGAGCACATCTTACTGCTCTGTACCAAACGATCCTGTTACTCAAGTTCAGCTCAGATATTTAAAACAGACACTCTGACTACTCCTACAACTACAAATACTGCTGCTGACGATAATGAAGACATGTGTTCTCCACCGGACTCTTGAATGGATTGTAGTAACAAGCTTGGAGTAACCTTTTTGCGAACAATGATCAGAGGAGGCACTGATGTCTAATGTTTTACTTCTTCGCCCTACGGACTAGTCTCAACTTCCTCAAAGGTAAATAAATAACCGTGTCCTGTTTTTACAGCTGTAATCTGCCTGTGTCCGTGTTGCATTGATAAACTTTAGATTTAGATCTGGTCATCAAATCGTAATATAACAATTTAATCCAACAATGATTGTTAGAAATGTGTTTATTATTTAACACAGGGGTTCCCAAAGTGGGGGTCGCAAGACCCAGAGTGGGGGGTCGCGAGATGATTACATAATACAAATTAATTAATTATTTTTGTATCAATTTTTTTAATTATTATTATTACTAATAATAACGTGTACATAGACATTTTTCAGGGGCGGACTAGCCATCTGTATAATTTCCCCGCAGCGAAGCTCCCCCGTTGACAATCCACTAGCGCAGTGTTTCTCAAACTTTTTCATACCAAGGACACTTAACCAATAAAAAAACACTCACGGACCACCTAACTCCACAAATATCCAAAAACAATAGGCCTGCTTGCCATTCCAACAGTACATAACAAATGACAGCCTAATAATGACAGCTTAACTATGGGCTAAGAACAGTCTCATAATACACACATGCACACAGAAGGATTCACACTTGTATTTCATGATCCACACTTGTGTGCGAGTGAAGTATAACCGGACGCGAGAGAGGTCAGATCAGCTGCTGAGTCTGACGGAGACACGCAGCTCTGCATGATCACCTGATGCTCCGCCCTCTGTTTAGCGAGCTGACCGGACAGCGCAAAATGCGTATATGAAGTGTCATGAACGCAAGAAATCATACCCTCGTGGGGGCGCGCTCATGTGATTGGCTTAGAATGAAGGAGACATCTGATTGGCTATAGATAGAAAAAATTACAAGTATGAATCGGCTGACCGTCAGGGGAGTCTCAAAAAACCCACACACGAATGCACAGCGATCCGTGCACAGAAAGCGGTTTGTGTTTGCAGGTGCAGGAGATTTAAATGGAAAACAAATTTGTGAGGATCAAAAATACACATGTAAAACTTTTTTCTGTCTTTGGATTTTATTTACATGTATATGAAACGGAACACATTTGTGCGTGCTTTGAAAAACACAAGTGTGGATCCGGAAATACAAGTTTGAATCCTTCTGTGTGCATGTGTGTATTATGAGACTGTTCTGAGCCCATACTTAACCTTCTCTATATCGCCCCCTTCACACATTAAAATCAACAATACAGATAAGCATTTAGTTCAAATGCGATTTAAAATGCTCTCAGGTTTTACACCTCTTGTGAAATGTAGACTACATTTATTACGGAGTTTATGTCCGAGCTAACAGACTCACAGATCGTTGGCTACTGAGAGATATGCAAAATACACCGCATAGTACCACAAACCTCCGCTGTGGATTTTCAAAACAAAATAAAACTATGGTCGCAGGCCCAAGTTTAACTCTGAGGCCTGCATGGTCTGCCTACAAAACTAAAATAAAAAAACGTTTATGCAGCCCCAACAACAGCCTCTGATCATCAACAGACTTCATGCAATGCTTCATCGGATGCATATATTAGATATATAATCTCTATCTCACTCCTAACATCTAAATCTACTTTCAGCATGGATAAATGTTCATTAAATACATCCATTGTTTTTTCTAGAACAGATTACAAATCGCCTGAAAATGGTACAAACAAGTGGCAACATGTTTGACGAAGGTGTTGCACTGGGCTATATCATGCAACCGAACGTGAAACGTAGGCTCGCTCCATTGCGGAGATATTCCCCCCCCCCCCCGTTGACAGGGGTCTCCAGTCTCTGGCACTGTTATTTTGGGGGTCGCAGGCTGATGTAGATGTATTTTGTAATCTCATTGTCAGTGAAGAAAGGTGTGTGGCTTGACATGTCGACAGAATATATGAACCGTCCATATTTCCATGGCTGCACCCCCCATGGATATCTTTGTCTTTTGTGGTGTTATCAAGAACCACAGGGCTTAAACAGCAAGGGGCCTCAAGTGACCAAGCTTCACTGATAGGGAATAAGAATAGTCCTCAGAGACATTGTCTCTCGGCTACTCAATGGAGAACATTCTGCATTGGCAACCGCCCAAATGCTCACTGGTTTAACCAAAACCAACTTTTCAGTTGTTTTATCCTATATCATATTACACTATTTCAAACTGCGCAATTTTGAGTAAAACCTAATAAAAAAATATTATTTCAATAAAGACACAGGAAAGAGCAAATCGTCGCTAACTTTCATAAGGAACACAAACCAAACATAGGCAAAACAATGCTTGGCACAGGCAAAGCAAGCTTGATATCAAGTATCCTCATATCTTTCAAAAATGTTGTATGATTGCTTATGGCTGTTTCACCTTGAATATGTTACTCCTAAAATAATAGCATGTTTTTATTAAAGCAGCAACTGCTTTCAGTATTGCTAAACAAAACTTTAATTGTTTTATTACTGAATGAATATTAATCTTTCAAATAAAAACTATAACCAGAATTAGATTGTTATTATTACTTGATATTTGAGCAATTATTAAATGTATACCATCAACCACATGATCATTTCCACTTAGTTAAAAAGGAAATCCTAGCAGGGATGAAAACATTCAAATCAAACTACTTTTAAATGTTGTTTCAGAAAGAGACATTGTGTTGCCAGTTATGTCTCATATACTTGTTAATAATAGACGTAATACTGGCTTCATCAATTAGTGCTAACCTACATATCTAACCCTGTTTAACACCCCTCAGGGTCCTCAGCGCAATAACCAATCGGATGTCTTTTTTGCAGGAGTTGAATCTGTGGTGGCGTTTGGATACGGTGAAAAAGGTCTATTATGCACCAGCTAGAAGGGACAAAATGCAGCTTCCTGTTGTGCCTGGGGATGAGTATTATCATCTGTTCAGTTATTTACATGAGGACCAGGATGCCAACAGAGCCCAAGCTGTTAGAACCTCCAAGTTGCAGGTCCTTCTCCACTGAATGTAAAGCTTTGCTGCCCAGCATGGAGGAGGGAGTGGAGAGGTACCGGCGTGACTGCCAGGTAGGTTTATATATAGTATACAGACAAATGATACTGAAGAGTCATTTTTAAAGTATTTTTGGATGTTAATATACCTATTTTGTTTCTGTTTACAGTTAGAAAGCTACATTATGAATAGTCGCATGCAGTGTTCTAACTTGACCAGAGACCTACACTTCATCACAAAACCTCTCAGTCGTGAGGAGGAGTACTACCCTTTAGCATTCATTGTGACCGTTCACAAGGAGCTGGAGCTATTTGTGCGCCTGTTACGCGCCATTTACATGCCACAAAATGTGTACTGCATTCATGTTGATAATAAGGCTTCAGTGGAGTACCAGACGGCTGTACTGAAGCTTGTCAGCTGCTTTAAAAATACCTTCCTCTCCAGCCAAAGAGAGACAGTGACATACGCTGGCTTTTCCCGCCTTCAAGCGGATATAAACTGCATGAAGGATTTATCAAAGTCCAAGATAGGCTGGAGGAAGGTGGTGAATCTGTGTGGACAGGACTTCCCTGTCAAAAGCAACCTGGAACTAGTGCGGTACATGCAGAGCAAACAGTGGAGGGACAGGAACATGACGCCTGGGGTCAAGCAGCCCGAGTCTATGAAGCAGAGGACTCAGCTCCAGCACAGGGAGATAGTAGGCTCACATGTAGCTACAAGATTTAGACTGAAGAAAGGTCCTCCTCCACACAATCTGCCAGTGTATTTTGGAACGGCCTACTATGCTCTCACAAGGGCTTTTGTAGACTTTGTTCTGGAAAGCCCAAAAGCCCAGGACCTCTTGGAGTGGTCCAAAGACACGTTCAGTCCAGACGAGCACTACTGGGTGACACTCAACCACATCAAAGGTAAACTGCACGCTTGAAATGGATACACGTACTGGAAATGTATGCAGCATAAATCCATATTTATCTATTAATTATTAACTATTGTGATGTTTAAGCAAATAATGACATGAGCTACAAAAACAAATTCAAACAGCATATTTGATCCTTAATGGTTTTACTCAGGCTCAGTGACTGTGCTTTTATGGCAGGACCTTTTGTAGGAAGTTAGCCTGAGCTGGAAAGATTATCAGTTCAAGTCGAAAATACCGTATAAAATATAAAAGTTTTAAAATGCTGGCAAAATAATTAACCGGCTTTTTTTTGCCACCAATGTTAAATGAAAATGTTTTAAAAACACTACAAACAAAAAACAATGTTTTCTCGAAATCATCTTATGTGAATCATGCATGTAATTTATCTTCCAAGGACAACCACAGCATATACATGTATTATAATCATCGTTTTAAAAACAATGTGATCAATAACAAAAAATGTCATGATTAATATTTATATTAGGCATCAATAATGTTGTACCAATGGGTCCTATGATCTCATTCCGTACATTAACACCCTTGTTTGCTGTCATGACTCATTTCTGAGACATTATTACATTTACAGTAAACTCAATTGACAGTTTGCATGTTACGCAAACAACACAAAGCACATGAGAAATTAGGAACTACTGCTAATGGTCATTACTAAGGAACTGAAATGAGTTGATCTTAAAAAGGCTGCTCCAAATGGGCTTATTTCCTCTTGTAACATGATTGACCCGAGGTTGCAATAAAGACGATTCTATTTTCAGAAAGAGATTCCTTGGAAGAACGAGAAAGAAAAAAGCCATCTCTTAATCTCTAACTATTAAAGTGAACGAATATTTATCTTGATTATGTTGTTAATATGTTCGCAGTTTCTTATAAAACGTTCATTCATTTTCACATTATTTAGCATTGCTAGTGTAAAAATACGTCTTTGTATTGTCTTATGATCTTTATAGGGATGTATTTATGTTTAAAAATGTATCCCTAATGCTTTCCATAGAAAAATGTAGCATAGTGGCTGTACTGTTTAATCGTAGGTTGGAAGTATAACTATACATGTTAATGAGAAGGATAAGCCACACTAAAGATGTCACTTCCACTTTTGATAAAAGAGCAGCAAAAAGCCTCTTCGCTAATATTTTATTTGGAAAGCATCCAGGACCATCTTCCACTCAGTGGATGTGACAGGGTAGGGTAAACCTTTTAATGCAATTTGGCCACATAATTATAATTCATTTTGACTGGTTATTTGTTTGAAGAAGTTCCAGGCAGCCACATTGATGGAGGTTGGGAGGGAGACATCCGGGCAATCAAGTGGAGAGATCAAGAGGGAAGAGTACACAACGGCTGCAAAGGTACAGTACAGACGGTCATGTATATTAATGAGGAACTATGTTATTGACTCATAACTATGGGCTCAGAACAGTCTCATAATACACACAGAAGGATTCAAACTTGTTCATCACATGAGCGCGCCCCCACGAGGGTAAGATTACTTCATATAAGCATTTTGCGCAGTCCGGTCAGCTCGCTAAACAGAGGACGGAGCATCAGGTGATCATGCCTAGCAGCGTGTCTCCGTCAGACTCATCAGCTGATCTGATCTCTCTCTCGCGTCCGGTTATACTTCACTCGCGTTTATGTCCATATCGATCAGATCCAGCTCTCCTGATCGGCCTTTATAGAGAGCACCGATCAAACTATTAAGAGTGAATATCGGCCGATAATGACCGGCGGGGCTCCCCCCCGTTAACAGGTCACGGTCTAGCACTGGCTTCGTAGTGCACTGATCGATTAGGCTAAGCTAACCTGTAGCTGCTCCCTCCACACTCACAACAACTTCATACAGACATAAATAAAGCAGCTGTATTCGCCATACAGCAGGAAACACACTTTTAAAACGGGTTTGCCTGCCGTGCTTGTGTACACAAGCATTCATTAACGGTTCGGAAAGTGGCGCTGTACCTTAATAATATAAAGGCTTGTATTTGCGTGCATTTCCTGTTTGGAAAGTGGCGCTGTACTGAGAGTGGAGGGTGTCCTGAGATTAGCGCCTGCAGGCAGGCTCCATGGAGCTGTCAGCTCCGGACTGCGCAAAATGCGTACATGAAGCGCTACGTCATGAACGCAAGAAATCTACCCTCGTGGGGGCGCGCTCATGTGATTGGCTTAGAATTGAGGAGACATCTGATTGGCTATAGATAGAAATAATTACAAGTACGAATCGGCTGACCGTCAGGTCTCAAAAAACCCACACACGAATGCAAAGCGATCCGTGCACAGAAAGCTGTTTGTGTTTGCAGGTGCAGGGGATTTAAACAGAAAGCTAATATGTGAGGATAAAAAATACACATGTAAAACTTTTTTCTGTATTTGGATTTTATTTACATGTATATGAAACGGAACACATTTGTGTGTGCATTGAAAAACACAAGTGTGGATCCGGAAATACAAGTGTGAATCCTTCTGTGCGCGTGTGTGTATTATGAGACTGTTCTGAGCCCATACGTAACTGTACCAACGCGTTTATCTGTGATCTGCATTCAATTCTACTAGTCTTGTTAAACTGTGTATTGGGAATGTTTGATACTTTGTAAATATGAACGTGACTTACTGAAAATGATCATATTAGTGGATTGCTGTAGCCAATCTTACTAAAACACATATGACACTTGTTCCTTTTAACATTGTCCTACCTCATACTTTATCCTCTTGTCTTTATTTGTTACATAAACAATGTGTGCTTTCTGCGTTTGTTTGGCTCTTTGGCTCCAGGCAGGATTAAAAGGACTGTGTTCTGGTTAAGGCAACACAGATTCAACTAAGACGATAAGAAAACAAATAGGAGGGTTTATTTAATATGACCTTGCCTTGAGGTTGAGTCTGTTTTTCATGACATTTATAAGGTTAAAGATTAGAAGAATTATGTTTGTAATTATTAGGTTTGATGTGGTTTTTTCCAGGGCATTATGTACGAGAAATCTGTATCTATGGAGTGGAAGACCTGCCGTGGATCGTCAACAGGAACAGCATGTTTGCCAATAAGTTTGAGAGTAACACGTTTCCTGAGGCCCTGGACTGCCTGGAGCAGTGGCACAGGAACAAGGTCCTGAACCAGACTATTGTTCCCATCGAGGCCTCCTGGCTGCTGGCCACACAGAGTAACTCAAGCAGCAGCTACTTCAACAGCATTGCTGGAGCATGAAGTCGCTGTTGGTGTCCTCAACGAAAGAGTGGCTACATTTAGGTCAAATTAATTGCACCCGTTCAGTGGCCATGAACGTCAAAAATGTGGGGAGAAAAAACTGAAATGACGACCATGCGTTGACAACTTCCTCTGCATCGCGGTTACTGTTCACTGATATGGGTTACTTTTTTTAAGTCATAAAATATATTGAAGCAATGTAGTTTAAACATATTTAAGTAAAACATGTATTTATTATTATTTAAGTATAAAACTATTTAACAGATTCTATCCGAGACAACTGCAATATACAATTGGTTGAATAAACTGCTGAATATGAATTTCATATTGTTTAACTTAATTTATAGTTCATTGTGTTGCCATGAAAAGGACTACTGTGTTTTTTTTTACTAATTAAAGAATAGCAGGTGTAAACGAATAAAGAAAAAAACATCCTTCCTCTCTTTTAAAATAAAAACCAAGCGATATGAAAGTGGGTCTTTGAGGCTGTGTTCTATCTAAACAATATGGTTGATGATTGGTATGCTAACATGCGAACAATGACAATGTTGACACGATATGAGAGGCTCTTTAATGTGCCTCTCAGTTAAGCGTCCTAGAACACTAACAGTTGCTAAAACAAAAATAAACAAGGTTAAGGGAACAAGTGGAAGATGGATGCGAAGCAGGAAATCTACTGTACAG